ATCATCTAAAACAAAGTTCATTACAAAATTTTTGTGGGAGTTACAGTTTTCATGAAAATAATAAAAACCTGATGAAACCTCTTCACTTTCAAAAAGAGCAAAATAGCTCGCCCTATTATCCACAAAAGAAAAATTTTTTACTTAGTATTATTCCATTTATATTAGTATTTAATCCTATATAAAAATGATATTTTAATAAAGATTTACCTGAAATTTGTTTATTTTAATTCAAAAGTGCAGTACCGAATCAATCCAGAGTCACCACTGTTACGTTACAAGACCACGTGACGTGTCTAACAAAATCGCAAAAGTTAGCAATCCTGTATGTCCATAATCGTTAGTCCAGTATCACTACTTTTTAGTATAAACCACGATGCGCATGATCGAATCGTAGCAGGTAGATTTTAGATGCGATGTGAATTGTCTTGATAATCGGCAACGTTTTCATGTCAATTTTTAATGTAATTTACCAATTTTGGCCTATCAGACTGACGACGTTTCGCTTGTGATATGATAAAGAGAAGTTTTGTTGTGGCTATCATTACCACTTCCCTAGAATTATTCCAATATATTTAGAATTTGGAAAAAACTATGTTTTCAATGTGGAGAATATCTATTTCTATTTCAGAGCATATCCAAATTGTAACCAAGATATATTTGGGAATTTACAGCATTCCATATATCTTTTGTTGAGTTTATTGATTAGTTATATAGAGAATAATTTCAGTAATCTCTTATAACCACCTACGTATAGGTATGTTCCAATGTTGTTGCATCTCATCAGGACCGGCTAGGTTGGATAAGCAAACCAATTCTTTTCCGTCGTTTTTTCGAACTTTGTTCAATTTTATACGTTTGATATAATTTATACAGTTCGCAAAAATATTGTATTTTTATTCAGTTCTGAGTTATGTTTGAAGTTGCAAGTCCCTTCAACTCATCGGTAACTCATTTTCAAATCGATTGCAAAATTTGATCCGAACAGACAAGGAGCGAGTGAAAACGTGGAACAATTCGAATAAAAATTTCAAAGCGTTTCATAGTATCCAGTCTACATTACTACGATACACCAATTTAATTTCTCATGAAATTTGTTTTACTGTCGAGCAGTGTATATCTATTATCCACTTGTTGAGCAGTGTATGAAATGTCACACACTTGTGGCGTGGCAGGTAATGTATGGTCATATTTAAATCCTTCGACAATAGTATGGAAGTCCTAAAAAAATTAAACTGTGAGACAGAAACATCAAAGCATGCTACAATAGTGAAACTATTGCTTTTAGCATATACTGTGGTGTTGCATATACCTGCTTTAAATGGTATGAAATAAAAAGTCGTTTTTGTAGTTTCATTTTATTACCTATTACTCTTCAAAGTGTCATGCTCTGTAGACAAAATCGAGTACTTTTGAAGAAAATAGCTTCGAACACCTGAGGGTAAAAAGGGAATAAAATAAGGGTATTTTGCAATTGCGCAAGGGTAAAATCAGGTATTTTCGTTGAACGATGTTGATATTTTTTTTACAAATGTCATTGGCAACACTGGATACTTGTAGTCAAATCTCTTTGTCTTTTGGTAATAAAAATACAAAGATTGAAAGATTTGACTTTCTTTACGTCTTCATCACAAAATTTGTTTATTATTCTGTCCCTTTGTCAAAGTCAAATGTTAAAAAATTCTTGGATGAAGGGTTGAAGAAACAATCTCGAGAAAGAAAAATGTTCCTTTTTCGGAAATAAAATTAAATATTACCACGTTTCTGAAACTTCAAGCTAGAAGTAGAAGAAAGCCAACAATACTCTTGAAAATCACAATCTTATCTGAATTACAGATACTTGGAACAAGTGTGAAAAATGAACTTTGGATGAAACATTCATGTGCTATAGAAATAGTCGAGCTCAGAGTTGGGTTGGGTTGCACCTTACAGTATATTTTATTTATTATTGGATACATTTCTTATATAACTTAATATCATGGATATAGTAAAGCATTCCTTGAATTCCATCAGATTTGGAATAAATAGTGTTTTCAATGGGAAGGAACCATGGCAAATTGTAACAATTACAAGTTCAACAGTTATTCTTACATTATGGATTTATGATTTCATATTTCAAGATGAGAGTAAGTATTTCTGATGTACGAATTAGTTTGTTTTCTTTAAATAATATATTTCAGGCTTGATAGATAGAGGGAAAAAAACAGTGTTCAATATTATTAAGCAAATTCCTACAGTGAGAAAAAAAATTGAAAGTGAACTGGAAACTGTTTCCAAAACTTTTGAAGAAGATGTTAAGAAGACATCCAAGAATACAACTTATATGCTCGATTTACCAGCTAAGGGATTGACCAGAGAAGATATAATGAATAAGTTAGATCAGAATCTGAATTTGGGTTGGTATGAATATATTCTCACCTGTCAGTTTTGTCAAAGAAAGTTAAAAGGGTTATTTTCAAGTAGAAATCTCTTTCTTTTGGAATAAACTGATAACTAAGGGCTGATCATAGTTCAAACTTTTACCGTTTATATTTCTTTAATAATAGGAAATGAAAAATGTTAAATTTGGTCATTCATACTATTGTTAAAGAAAAAGGGGCTAACCCTGTAGATGTAATTTTGGGGTGTTTTAAAGATAACGAAACTAACTTGTCTGATTTCTACCATGTTTTTTATTTGTTACAATCGGTTTCGGTGTATTAAACCATTCTCAAGTAAATTGAGAAAGGTTGTCACAAATAAAAAACTATATTCAATGAGTTTCTACAAAATAAATAGGTAAAGAATCGAACAAATTGGGGTGTTTTTTTTTAACAAATCTTTTCTCAAAATATTGGAAAACTTTGCATTTGATTAGCAGAATGTCAACATCAACAAGGAACTGGGTCATGCCCCAAACAATATTTACTACACTCTTGTTAACTCGTGCATATTCTTGTACTTTAAGGAATTCTTAGAGAAAAAGTATTCATCCAGAGAACTTTCTGTAAAGTGAAACTAAAAGTGTGGCCACTTTCTCAAAGTAAAGTAAAAGTTTGATGTATGAATCAGCCATAAGTAATTTTGAGTTTCATTTGAAATGAGAAAAGTACTACTCTACTTACCAAATGTATTATATTTTTCATTTCTGGTAATTATCTCGCTTTTGTCTGGCTCTCTTGCTCTCATGCTTTCATGCTTTTTTCAAATCAATGATTCTATTCAGTTGTATGATACTAATTGTTTGGAGTCTTTTGTGATATAAAGAATATATCATCATCTACTTATGATGAAATTTCAAATAAAATAATAGAAAATCTCCCAAAGCAAGTGTTGAAACTTGTATCACTTATCAATCTTACATTCAAAAATGGCATATTGCTATCTTTTCTGAAATTGTTGGTGTTATTCCTCTGCATAAAGGTGACACCGTAAATGATCAATTTAACTATAGACCAAATTACCTCATCTCAACTATTGCAAAAATAAATGAAAACTCATTAAAAGGATCAAAGAATTTCTCCTGTTTTAACATTATTAGGGACGATCAATTCAGATTTCATAACAACATGATGCACTATTCTTTTTCCAAATTCAGGTATACTTAAATATTAAAACTGGAGATTGTGCCGCGGCTGATTTTTGGATTTAACAAAAGTGTTATTCAACATACTTGTACATAAGCATTAGATAAATAACACTTAACTGGTTTGAGTCATGTCAATAATCTTACTCAGATTATAAAAACAAATTGAAGTTCAGAAAGTTTTGAAATAATTACCGGAGTACAATAAGATCGGTTCTGGATTCAATTCAACTCTTATTGTCTATTAATGACTTGATGAATGGAATTAATGGAAAATTGAATATTATTGCAGACAATATGCTGTATTATGACAGCAAAGGTGAATATGTCAACTGAGACAAAAAAATGTCTTGATGTGACTCAAATCTACTCTTTTTCAATATTATCATAACAAATGTGACATTCAAATTTATACTTGATAATATACCTCTAGTCTAGAGAGAGGGATCATTGAAAATATAGATTGTACAGAATTTATAGGTTCATATATAAGCAGTGAATTGAAGTTTGATACCTACATCAAGATGATAAAATTGCAGAATCTGTTTGTTCTGCAATGAGAATTATTGCTCATGTTTCAGTCCCATTTGAGGTAAGGTAAACCTCGTGACTCATGCAGGCATCTGATTTCAGACAAAAAATATAGATTTTCAAAAATTTTCTTATTATAGAGACAGCGTGTTTAGTTGAAAAACAGACAGTTACTTATCTTGAAGATTTTTTTAATTAAACAGGGGTGGTTTCTGACAATCTCCCAACTGAGGAACTTCTGGTTAGTATTCATCAATAAAAGTGACTCACATGATGAAGAGACACCCCATAAATGAAAATATACAGAACTTGAGGTAACTTTGATTTGCGACCTCTTCTAGTAAAAGTAACTTTACCTTGTTTGGTATCAGACACTCCCGCGCTAACACCACCATCTTCTGCCATTGAAGCAGAAGGCTGTTTCTCTTCTGGATTTCCTTGTTCTCCTTTTCAGGCGTTTTCATTGAAGTGACAGAATCTTCCATTCGAGATGGAGCTACACATTCCTGATAGTAAGTTTTCTGCAGTGGTCACATCAACTGTCCTCTTGCTGTATCTGCTCCGATCAGTCGTGCTTGCTTGTCATTTCTTAAAATCAGCTCCATGATTCGTCCCAAAGGCCAATTTATTCGTTTGTTACCAATGAGACAGTGTTTGATGACTTTTTCATTTTTGTGTTGTCTTCAACTGAGTGAGACATTCACTACGAAATTTTAGACACACATTTTTTCTGAGTGTTTGTTTGTGTAGCATTCTTCGACATAACTAAAATCATCGAATGTATCACAGTCAGGCATACCGCTTTCCAATTGATCTTGCAAAAAATGCAATAGAGTTGAAGCACTAAATCAATGAGATCATTTGACAGGAAAGTGATAGGTCGTGTGTTCATAATAGACTCACACTCACAAATGAGAGTCAACAGTTCTTCATAGGCAAAGCACGTTTTAACCCTTCGAGTAAGACTATTTTCATGATTCCCCCCCACTAAGCAGCTCTGGGGGGATTTTTCTGTGGTTTTCCAATCAAGTTCATTGAATAAGTTTTTAGTTCCTACAAAATTAGTCCCATTGTCGCTATATACTGTTTTTGACCAGCAACGTCGAGCTACAAAACTTATAAAAACCTGATGTACTCAGTGAAATTACGAGATCTAGATGCACAGCGCGATACATGGCATAGGTAAATAACCACACTCCATCCACATGCAACGGTTTAGCATTATGTCTATTGCAAATGACACACTTAGATATAATCGATCCAATAGCCCTACGCCCACCCAAAATCTAGTATTTATCCAGGAGTGAGTTTGAAAGTGCATGAGTTCCTATGTATGACACGATATTTGTTTGAAGGTGGTTGACAATGTTTCGTGGTGTATTTCATCAGTTCGGACTTCCATTATCTAATATAATATAAATTGATTTGAAATCCCTGAAAAAAATTAAAAAGATTAACCAAAAATAACAATCTCAGTAAACAAAAAACTGAAATTAGAAAGAAATAACATACAAGCAACAACCAAAAAATAAAAAATTAAAATATTAATGAAAGCTGAAAAAAAAATTTGAAAATATTATTAACAAAAAATTAAAAATAGAAATTAAAAGATTCCATACCAAGTTATGTCACGACGTTTCGATTGTTAGTATCTACAATCATCTTCGGGTGATAATTGGGCTTATGCCTCCGAGATTTGACTATTTATAGGTCATTCGAGTGCTTTCACCTATCCCCTCTTCCCTCACTCCGCATCATTGGTTTTAGCGGGAGATGACTGTTTGGCGGGAGTTGATCGTTTTTCGCTTGATTAGAGGTTTCCATACGTTACGTATCTCTACGCTAGCTTGACTAAATGCGTTGTTGGACAACATATACGCGGCTTCTTTGGTTTAGGAGAAAATTCAAAGAAGCCGTTCTGTTCCTGCTGTTGTGAGTGATTCGAAATATTCATGCGATTTTGTACTCAACGTTTTTAAACATTCAGAGAAATAGGTGAAATGCCAGTCACCAGAATTGAATTTTGAGCATGGTTTTAACTGACCTTTTCTTCTTTTCCCTTTTGATTACCCTTGAAATCCGCTTTGGGCCACAAACACGGTTTATCATGAAGTCACGTTGGACCCTCCCACCATCTGGATTCTAGTAATTTTCGTGGCGAACTACCACGTCACAATAAATCAGCTGAATTGAGATGGCCAGGTAATGACTTCGTCATTATAAGAGTGTGAATCTCTGCTATATGACTCCAAACGAAAGTAACTCATTCTTCATACGCCGAATCCAAGAAACCACAGTGGAAGAATCGGTCCAAAAATAACTCACAATGTCATCAAAATTTCTTTTTATTGAGTTATGTAGTCTGGCTCTCATTGACGCAGCCATCAACTCCAAATGAGGAATGGATAAGTTTTTTGATGGAACCACTTTTGTTTTTGATGCCATCAAATAAATGTTGACTTGATCCCTTTTCTTAACGCTCAGAAAAATCACAGAGTAGGCTTTCTTACTTGCATCACAAAAAGTATACAAATTATAATTTTCGATGTCTTCTGGTCCAGCTTGAATCCATCTGGGAATCTCGATTTTCCGTAATAATGGAATTTCTAAGACCCAAATGCAGAATTCATTCGCAATATTTACCTCGATTGGCGAATCCCATCCCAAAGGAGTCTCGCTAGTTCGCTGTAATAATAATTTAGGACATAAGGAAGCTGCAGCTGTGAAACCGATAGAGTCAAAAATGCGTTGTGCTCTTCAAAGTATCAATCTTTCCGTAATTATTGTATTTTGAAGATCGCTGACATCTTCTATACATTCATTATTAATTGATAATGTATCCCTACTATTGTTCCATATCAAACCAAGTACAGGAACACTAACCTGGCCATCTCTCGAATCCTTCACCCATAATAAGGCTCGCTTCTCTAATAAATTCTAGTTGTTCAACTTTTTTCCTCGTTTTTATTTCGCGGCATTTCACGAGAACATTTGAAAGATATAAAAGTGGGCTACTCATCACACCAAATACGGCTCTCTTCTGCGGCGGTATATTTTTTCCTTGTCATATTCTCCAACCCACCAAAATCGAAGAGGATTTCCGTCTTTATGTACGAGGTCTGTTCAAAACAATTCAAATATCACGGGCTACGTACATTCGATTAGCGATTTTTTTTTCATTTTTTTGGGTTGGTACACTCGTCTCGAACATATGTTCACAGTTTCAGCTGTTTAGTTTGTTGGTGAGAGGCATAAAAATCAGAAGTGTGTCGCGCGTTCAGCGATGTTCTGCTATCGAAAATGGATCAAAGCATTTGCATCAAATTTTGTCTAAAAAATCGAATTAGTTCCTCAAAAACACTTGAAATGTTGACAGTGGCATATGGTGATTTTACGCTGAGTCAGAAAGATATTTACAAGTGGTACAAGCTTTTCACAGAAGGTCTAGAAGATGTGAATGACGACGCTCGCCCTGGCCGCCCTAGCATATCAACAACCGATGAAAATGTTGAGAAAGTGAAGAAAATTTTTACGGAGAATCGTCGAATCATCATTGAAGAAGTTGCTGAGGATGTCAGCATATTTAACCATGCATTTTTTTTCGTAAATTTTGGGCATGAAGCAAAACTCGTTCCAAAATCCATATTAGGTCAAGAGGGTCATAACTGGTGACAAATCATTGGTATATGACATCAAAACCAAAGTCCAATCGTCCCAATAGAAGAGCCTAGGAAAGCCAAGACCAAAAAAGCACGCTAAGTTCGATCAAATTTCTTCAATTACCGTAGTGCATCAGGAGTTCTTGCCACATGGTGGCAAGGTAAGGAGTATTATCGTGAAGTTACACGCCGCTTGCGAGAAGCAATACGAAGAAAACGTCCGGTATTGTTCATAACAAATTCACAGAGGCATTAAATATTTTTCAGTTGCTACTAATGTATATATTGGATAAGATATGTTGCCACAGTTATGTAGCATAATTCTGAAAATATATGCACCTTGTAAATTTATTTACAAACCTTTAATGCTTTGTAATACACATTCGTATATATACAGGTATTCAAATTCGCGTTTTTTACATTGGTATCTCGTAAATGATAAGAGACAGAGTTAATTCAGTTGTGGCAAAGTTACCTATTTTTCGGTAGTGTCAAGTGATACCGAAAAATCGACTTCAGCTTTTTGGATCCGGATACATACAAGATAAACCAAAAATTTAGAAGTTTAATTTGTTACTATACCTATATTATTTATTAACTATTCATTTTCAATTCTTCTTTTTTAGTTGTTTCAGGGATTTCAAATCATTTTATATAGTAGACAATGGAAGTCCGAACTAGTGAAATTCATATCAACTTTCATTGCAATTATAATAGAATTTTTATATGGTATATCCTTTGACTGGGACACTTTCGACTTTGAAATTTCAAATACAGACCGGGAAAGTTTTTCCGATATGTTTGAGAGTTCAGGTAATTTTATGATCATACATTTTTTTTAAACGGACCATATAATCACTCGAATAAAAGCAATTCTTATTCTGTGTACCACAGCTAATTTTCAAAAACTCCACCAAGTACCTGAAATGTAATGATATCACAAATCTCTAAAATTTCCCCTGAGGCTTTCCTACATACTGCTGCCAGATGTTTGAAAAAAACTCATACTTATATGTGTATATGTCCAACCCCCATTTTTTAAATCGAGGGTAATGAAAAATATGAGATATTGTTTGAAAAAATGAGCAAGTATTGACCTCAACTGTAAAAGGATTCATCTTTCCTAATTCTAAACTTAACTGAAGTTCTAGAGAATATGTTATTTGAAATATTCATCAAAATAAAACATCAGCAAAAATAGACTGTTTATTTATCCAGTATCTTCAAAATTTAAAACTTGTAGGAACGGTGAAAAATGTTACTGGAAAAATCAGAGGGTTGTGTTTCAATACACTTCAAATGATACATACAAAAATAAGAATAGCTTCCATTCACACGATTATCAAACTCACAAGAAAAAATAATTTATTTGATGACGATGAAAATACTGACACTCTCGGAAAAATAGAAAAAAACTTCAATTTCAGATATTTCATGAATATTACTGATCAAAAAATACAAGTCTTTAAAAAGAAGTAACTTTCAGACACAAACTGATAGATAAGTCCTCTCGAAACAACTAGGTACTTTCTTTACGAAAAACACTTTTTCCAATTCAGTTTGCACTCCAAACATTCGTTATGGATTCGAATCAGATATCATTCACGGGATTTCTACACATTTACAGCTACGGTGGGAGAAATCGTACATACATACTTAATTGTATTGAGGGAGGGGTTTCTCACCGGCCAGTGTTTCAAATTTCAAATCACTTTTAAAAAACTTATTTTAAAACATGCACTTATTGAACCATATCTATATCTGTTAGCAAATGGGATTGCAATGATATATTAAGGGAATATTATTTGTAAGAAATAATAAAATAACTAAAATTATGTGATAGTCTTTTACATAATTTCCATTTCAACTCTCAGTAATTATGTAAATATGGAAAATAGAAACATTCATACAAATGTCATAAGTTTGTATAGTGAAAACTGGCAAAACTCGTTAATGATTAACCTCAACTTTTACCATTTGTTTTGATGGTTGGGGAAAAAACTCCAGTAATATGCATTACTACACCAAAGGTTCCAAACAGTGCATCACAAATACACCACATAGGAGAGTTTCTATTTTATTTCTAGTAATTGAAGAAACCTAATGAATAAAAGCATTGAAAGTTTGTATGTCATATCAATTTCCCATTCATTAAAATATTCATTAATTCAGCTTTCTGGTAACTGGTGATTTCAGGTGACTTTGACTGGAAAGGAGGGTTAGTCTCCGGCGCTGTGTACTACTTCAATCCAGATTTAATTGATTTAATAAGTAAAGTCTATGGAAAAACATCTTACACTAATCCATTGCATCCTGACTTGTTTCCTGGACTCTGCAAAATGGAGGCAGAAGTTGTAAGGATGACGGCAAATTTATTTCACGGTGATGAAAATGTTTGTGGATCAGTAAGTCAAATCAATATATGCATGTATTTTATATATTTACTGTTGAATATACTTGGATCATGACCTTTTAGATCAATCAGAAGTATGCAGAGAAGGCCTAATTTGAAATTAAAACCTTTTATCCATGAGTAACAAATCTGCCTCTAGTTCACCTATTATTACTCATTGTAATATTTTGTTAGTGTATTCTTATTCTTAATTTATATGTTAATGACTACCAGATGTACACTGCGGATGTAATTAGTCCCTCACTCTTAACTTTCAAACCGGGCAATAAATCAGTCGGACAAAAATTTAAAAAAAAATTCCAGGACTTTTTGAAAAAAAAAAACATAATGTAACATCACTTGCCGCCGACAGGCCGCTATCCACTTTTATTTTCAAATGGAAGTGGGGATCTTGTGACGTTTGGTATGAAAGGTATTTCAATTCTCTATATTTATCACTTTTACATTGTCAGGTCAGTACTTCACAATTTGATTTAAGGGATAACAGGATTCTCAAGTTCCTTTTTATAGTTTTCAAATCATTGATTTCAATTCCGTTGATATTTTCTTGAATCAATTATCTTTGATTCTGTTTTAAACAAAGCAAAGATTACTATTACAAGTGATCTAAAATTTATATAATTTCAGATAACAAGTGGTGGAACAGAATCTATTTTATTGGCATGTAAGGCATTCCGAGACTATGGTAGAGAAGTTAAAGCTATTAAAAAACCTGAAATAGTTGTTCCTACTACCGTACATTCAGCTTTTGATAAAGCTGCACAATTCTTGGGACTCAAGGTTAGATCAATACCAGTTGATACTCAGACTTACCAAGTTGATATCAAAGCGTTCAAAAGAGCGATTAATTCCAATACAGTGCTGGTAGGTAACATATAGAATATGAAAAACTACTTATTACTATCTATTGAAAACAATTTCACAACCCAGAACAAAAAATTACGATCTCTCGACGCGCGTTTAGCTAACCAAGTTAGCTTCCCTTAATACAACCATTACAAGGAAAAACATG